CCCGGGAGGGCCCGTCCGAGCTCCCCGCCCTGGCCCCGGCCCCGGCCCCGGCCCCGGCCCCGGGGGCCTCCGCTCCGCACTGCCGCGGGCCCGCAGACTCTCACCGACCGCCAGTGTTGATAGCCAGACTCCGATGACGAGCTTCACTATGGGTTTGCTCCTCGCCTCCCTTCTGCTTGCTTCTTTTTTTAAGACTAGGGGAAAGCATAATAGTTTATTTTAACTATGAAACATATTGCTATATTACCACGGGGATTGTCACGTCCCATGACGTTTTGTATCGCACTAGGCGGCGGGGGGGCAGCCATGTCGGCCTGCCCTCGAAATGCCTGTTTCTGAGTACACATCGCTGCAGAGCGCGGCTCGGCTCGGCTCGGCCCGGCTCGGCCCGGGGTGGGGGCAGGGACGCCCGGGCTGGTAGGAGCTGCCCCAGGGAAGAGGCGCCGGGGCCGGGGGTGATACGCCTTGGGAGCAGTGCGGGCCCAAACCCGCAGCAGGGTCAAGCGAGGCCGCCCGGGAGGATCCGAGCAGGTCGTCTTGCCCTTGGCCCTTCGGGCGAGGCAGGGTCCCCTCCCCTGGGCCATTCGGCTCCACCAGCTCAGGTCCCCCCTGGGTGTCAGGCCCCGGGGACGGCCGCTGCATGCTGCACCTTCTCTTCCCAGCCCCGAGCTTTGGTGCACAAGGGCAGGGACTGACGGTCTCGGCTTGGGGGCACCTAGGTCTGCTGCTGTGTCTGGAACAGCTTGCGCCAGGCCTTTCCTCCAGGACGGAGCACGTAGGAGCCCCCTTGCCTCTCCCTTCCCTACCGGGCCGCGGCCTCCCCGACGGCAACTAGACAGCGAAGGGGGGGAGGCCGCTCCAGGGAAAGCTGCCCCTGAGGATGATGCTCAGACTCGGGGCTGGTTCCTGAGGCCTGTGTCCCTGTGAATGTACCCCCACCCCTTCCGACCACCTCACCAAGCACCTTGGAGGGGCCTTTCCCTTCGTCCCAGCCCCAGGGAGACCAGGACGCCGCGACCGAGTCCAGCCCTGTTGGGTCTCTGCAGCTCCCGCTCCTGCTCCTGAACCGTTTGCCCCTCTTTGCCCCTCGTCCCCGGCCCCTCCAGGCCCTTGCCAGCCCTAGGCTTTCGGGGGGGTGGCAGTAGTCATAGTGTGCTGCCACGCAGCTGATTTGTACCTAGAAACAGGCATGTTTTAATCTAATGGCTTTAACCTGTTCACTGTAAAAAGTGCCTTGGACTTAACTGGGGAGAGGTCAGTATGTAGAAACCCGCGGGCGCCCCCGAGCGCTAATATCTGCGTCCCTATATAAAGGCTTTGGACCCCCGGCCTGTGCCGCGCACTTCTTTCCTGCTGCTCGCAGAAACGGGAGACAGCCCCGGCGCCGGGGCCACGAACCCCTCTGTCGATAAAAAAACAGCCCAGCTCCGAGGGCCGGGAGACGCCGAGGGGCAGAGCCGGGCAGCCACCCCCGCTCGGGCCCGGGGCGCTGCGAAGGCGAGTCCCCGGGGGCACGGGATGGCCCCAGGCTGCCCGCGCCTCCTGGGACGGGGGCAGTGCCCTGCCGTGCGGGGCCCGGAGAAAGCAGCAGCCCCGGG